TCCTGTACAGGTGTGATACCACACACACTACACAAAAGCCTGGGAACATTAGAATTGAGTAGAAATACATACATAACACTACAGAAGGCCACTATATTGAATACATGCCACATTGTTAGGAAATTCCTGAATACAGACACTGACACACTTATTTAATTTTAGTTTTGTTTTGGTTGCTATGCCTTGACTCTGGTCCGGCATAGTACACAGCCACCGGTGTGAACCGAGTAAAACTCACTAAACTCAACATAATAATAATAATAATAAAAAAGGATACTATCTGGTATTTTGATGACATGACCCACTCCTGACCAAGGCTTCTGCAATTCACCAAGATAGCGCAATCTTAATTCATCTCCATGCATAAGTCTCATTTCTGTGTAAAATAAAAGAGCAAAATATTTTCAAAAATGTTAAACTCAGAAATTTTTTTTCTTTAATATTTTATATAATTTTTATGAAAAAATTTATGACAAAGTTTTAAATGTCAGCTTCATACATATCACTTATATTTCTAATTCCAATATAATTATATTTTAAAGAATTTAATAATAAAAAATACAAAAAACAATATATTTTAAATACATTTTTGTAATATGTATTGATATACAGTTATACCTCGCCTTACGTCGGTAATTGGTTCCAGGAGAGGCGGCTTAAGTCGAAAAACGACATAACTCAAATTTATTTGTCACAAGGCTAAACCATAAATAACCATTCCCAGTTCTGTATTTTATTTATAAATGCATTTTTAATAATATATGGTTAATTTTTAATAATCTGTTTTAAGCTTACAAACAAATAAATTTCAGTTTTTAATATAGTACAGAAAAAAGTAATCTAAATTTACAAATTCATGTACAGTATGTACAGTATATACTTATAAATGTGCATGTTTACAATTTCACGATGTTTACAGTACATCGCAGACTCTTTATTTGTGAATGTGGTTTGCTCTAAGACATTATAAAATAAGATGATTTTGTAAGGTTAAATAACAAATACAGTTATTAAAATTATCTTGCGACAGTAGAAAATAAACAAATTTATATTAAATTTACCAATATTGAGTGCTGCTGACAATGACGCCAAATAATAGATATTGGAGTTACCATGGAAAACACCAATATTGAGCAGTTAAAGACCACTAAATAAGATGACAACACAGAAACACAGATGTTTTCATGTTTCATTCTCTAGGATTTATGATGATTATATTAACATTTACTGTAAATGTACATATTTTAATATAAATTTATGTGCTTTTAATGCTTTTCTAGTGATATTCAATATTTGTGGTGGACGGACGTAGTCGAATAAAATGACTTAAACTTGATTTTTATTTTTCCATATATTTTTTGACAAATGATGTATAATCGAGAACGATGTAACTTGAGGTATATCTGTATAATTAAAACTTTTAAACAATTTCTGCATTTCTGATAGAAATTATGAAAAATATTTTGAATCACATGACAAATTTTTGCATACAACAGCAGTAAAAAATAGCCCAATGGAAATTGTTTGGTTTATTATTAATACATCAGGCTTAGTGATGTTTATGTAGTACATATTCACTGTATTAAACAATAATACAATTGGGTCTTTATTTGTGAAAACGATAATTCATGAATTTGTATTTTCACAGCTGGCAAATGATTTGGTTTACCTTTGGATGCACAGGTTAATTCTAACTATTAATTCACATACTGACTACTTTTATTATAAAATTCTTTGTGTAACAAAAGTAATGGTATAAAAATTAAAAGCAATTTTTACAGCCTATCTTTAACTTGTCCTGCATTGTTCCTGAAAATTTCCATGTTGACCTCATTGACCTGTGTGGGTGACCCCCGAATATTTTGGTGTCTGTATCGGAACGTTTTTTATACCAGATGTCACTATGCATCATAATTTTTATATTAAAACAAACTTTTGAAATATAATTTTTTTTTGTTTTTATATTTTTCAATATATTTATTTTGTTTGTGCAACATAAAAAAAATAATTTTTAACGACACAGTAAACACAATTATTACTTAAAAAAAAAATTTTTTTTAGTTAGGCTTAACATTGACGAAAATTCAACATGGCGTCACAGGCAACGGAGAAGAATTTCAACATCGAATAGGTTAAGAAAAAAATTATTGTGATGAAATAAAAACAGAAGGTTTTAATGAAAATATGAAAAAGTAGAAAGAAGTTTCAGATTGTATAGCAGTTTCAAGCTATGCAGAAGTAAAAATAAAGCTAAAATTAAAATTTTGGCACTATGAAATAACAGCAAGGCAATGTCCATTATTTCTTAGGCTGCTTTATGGCTGCTCATGCATAAAATACCTATGCTTAAGTAAATACCATAAGTTCTAAAAAGTTCAGCTAATGATAGAGAAAGGCAAAGACTGGAAACAATAATGACATTAGATGAGACAGTACAGCCTTTAAATAAGTGACAGTGCAAGCCGTTTAGAAGGTCCCATACATGAATAGAGGTCACATGTTTGATGTTGCAAAAATGTCTTACAATATATGAAAACAAGGATATGAGATCAGAGAGACAGTGCAAGCTGTTGAAATTTGAACTACTAAACACACAAGTTACATGCCTGATAACATAATGTTAAAAATGGAGATGCATTTTTCATTCTGGATTGGATGGATCAATATAAGAAAACCTGCCTGTAGATTTTAGTATGATTTTCTGATTCTTTACAACAGATGTAAGCAACAGACTTCCTCAATCAGCAGAATTATAGATACTATTTTTATTATCAGCAAAATGGTTCCAGAACTTCAAAAGATAAAGTCCATTTCAAAATTATAAACACACCCAACTTTTTTCAATAACAAAAACATTAACAATAGTAATGTATTTATTACATCAGTATGTTGTTTACAATATCAATTTAAACATTTTCTGAAATTTTTAGAGCTATCTGACAATCACAAAAAAAAAAAAAAAAAAATTATCACAGATTTTCAATTTTTGTTTCAAAAGTATAAACACAGGTGCATAAAAAATGATTTTTGATGTTTCAATATTTTGTAGGTCCACCATTTGATTTAATTAATTCAAATACTCTGTCAGGCATACATTTTATTAGTTTTTGAAGTTATTCTTGTTTAATATTTTTCCAACAATCCATCATAGCTAATTTCAGTGCATTTACAGTATTGTATTGTCTGTTTTGACTATAAACAAGAAGACTCATAATGCCCCAAACATTCTCTATCAGATTCATATCAGGGCTCCATCATGGCCAATCAATCACATTAATTTTTTTTTCAGCAAATCAATTTTTAGTTGACTTTGATGCACGAATGGCAGAATTTATCCTGTTGAAATTGCCAGTTTTCTCACCCAATAAGTGATCCAAAAGTTATTAAATTTTGATACAACATTTCTTGATACTTTTCTGAATTCATTCTACCTTCTATGCTGATTCTCTGACAACTTGTTGACTGTCAGTTGTCAAAAAAACCTTTCTTTCATTTCTAAGTGTAAGGAGTGTAGGCCTTCCACATAGCTTATTTCTGCCATAATTTTCATCCTGAGTTAACACATTTCTCACAGCACATGTAGGTCGATTTACAGCTGCTGAAATTTGTCTTAGAGATTGTCCTGCTCCTTTTAGTTCGTAAATTTCATGTATTTTTAACTCTGTTAGTGTTTTTCACAAGGCGTTGTTTTAAATCACAAAAAAACTGTTTAAAATTGGTGCCATGTTTGTAATAACGAACGATACTACCCTCTGATAACAACTAATTAAACCAATAATTAATAAAAAAAATTATCATACTAATTTTATGCACCTGTTTTTTTATACTTTTGAAACAATTAAAAACTGAAAATCTGTGATAATTTTTTTGTAATTGCCAGATAGATAGCTCTAAAAATTTCAGAAAATGTTTAGTATGTTGTTTATAACTTCAATTTAATGTAATAAATACATTATTATTGTTAATGTTTTTGTTATTGAAAAAAGTTGGGTGTGTTTATAATTTTGAAATGAACTGTACTTACATTATGAAATAAAAATTATGAAAACTTTGCTTTAGAGCAGGCATGTCAAAGAGACAATTACTTGTGGCCCGCGACATGAATTCAATAATGCTATTTGTTTATATTTTATTATATTGATACCAAAGAAAATGTGATATTTTGTACTTAAACAAATAATAAACTAATAAATCAAATAGTTGAACTCAATTATTATTATTATTGTTTCTATTTTTATTTATTCATATTACTTAGAGTTAAAAATATATCAAATAAAATAAATATGTTTAATTTCTTGTTTACATTATGATATCTCATCTTTTGAATTTCAAATTAAAGTCTGTCTTCACAACATCATTTATTACATAATTCACACTATTTTGCATATAAAATGTGTGTTTTCAAAATATTAGTAAATTACAGTTTATTCTTGTACTTTGAGTTTTGCAATCCTTATTTTTGAATCAGTTTACAGACCTGCTTCAGGGCTGTAAATTGGCCAAAAATGTTTGTTCTGTGATTAAAGTTATTGCTGGAAAAGTACAAATGGTTTTTTTTTTAAATTTATTTTCAAATCTTGGGTTATTAAAAACGAATTTTTTGAGTCAGCTACTTTTGGGATACTTTTAAAAAAATTTTTGGCTACAAAAGCTAAAAACACCTGGCCCGCTGTCATACTCCAGACAAAAAATTGACACTTAAGTAGTTTGAGTTTGACACTTCTGATGCTATCTCTGCACAGCTGAAGCTCATCAATAGTAATGAATATAAATCTAAACACGTTTACAATGTCAACAAGACAGCATTATTTTAAAAGAAAATGCCTATATACTGTGAGACCCGAAAGGCCCTGGGTCACATTTAATAATTTTTATTGATAATATTAAATTATCGACACAAAATATTACTTCATTTTTTGTGAAAACTAGTGTTTTGGACGTGGGAAAAAACCAGATAACAGATGCTACTTCCTTTCACAGAAGAGAACATCCTCTGACTTTCCCTTATCTGGTTAAAAATCTCACTCAGATGGGAAATGGTTACCCCTCATTCATCCGTTCTCATGAAAGAGTTACTGGCCGATGATTGGTCGAAATTCAGGAGATATAAAGGGAAATTAGTCCGAATTCGGGGAGTTCTTCGACAGATCCGAAGCGTCAAAACTCCACACAGTTCTCCTCCTGATGACCAAGGCCCTTAAACGAGTCCCATAGACTAAGTTCCGAGTCTAAACTTAGTGAAGATACTTTTATATTTGTGCACGTATTGATCTCCCGTATGAAGAAGTAAATGAACTCTATCTACAAGATGTCCCTTACCTACAGAGATGAAGACGAACGACGACAACTAAACAGGTCGTATGTTTAGAATGATTT